TCGTAGCACGAAAATACAAGCAGCGAACAAGATTACGTTTGTACCTCAAGGGTACAAAGCTAAGAAAATATGTATATTGGCCTACCCAAGTGGCCTTCCGGAATACACTTCTTTCCAATGAACCATGCTTTCTTCGGCTTAGCAACACGTCCAAGAAGGTTGGCTTACCATCTCTTTCGGTTTCGATAGTAAACTTCAACGATGAATGAACACCGTTTAACTGGTTTAACAGGTTGGAAACATTGATGTTTGAATCGCAGATTATAAACGTATCATCCATATAACGACAATAGAAATCAAACGAAGCGATGATGGGTCGTATAGCTTCACGCTTAATCATAACGAGGAAAATATCAGCAAGGAGTGATCCTAGGGGTAACCCCATCGCGACACCGTCAATCTGTCTGTAGTAGACTCCATTAAATAAAAATTGTCTGTTGAAGGTACACCGTAAAATTAATTCCTTCAGTTTCCTCACCGGAATACCCACATCTATGCTCTTTTCATTCATGTAATCACACACACGAAATTGACAGTTTCCATCAATAGAACATTCGTAAAAAGTGACTCAACGTCCAGAGAGAGCATCAATTTGTTATTTAGTTTCCTGCATTCTACCCGTTTCACAAATTCAAATGTGTCTTTCACGGTGTATGTGCATAACTCCTTGCGTACTGGTTCGAACAAACCCGAAAGCCATTTCTCAACCGAGTGAGTAGCTGAGGCTGACATGTCGATTATCGGACACAGAGGGACTTGTGGTTTATGTACTTTAGGTAGTCCATAAATACTTGGAGGATGGGTACCCACTGGCGTTAGCTGTTCCAGTAGCACGCTATCTATTTGGTTCATACGCTTCAGCTCCTTCAACACTTGAGTGATTTTAAACGCATCCTGCGCGGTTTTATCCTTCTGTACAGTTTCACAAAAGAACTTACTCTTATCTTGCAAAATGGATTGCATATTGGAAAGGTAGTCGCATCTATCCTTTGGGACATTGGTAAATGTGATGAAAGCGACCAAAATAGGAGAAGTAAGGAGATCGTTGGGAAGAACGTTTGTGCAGGTGTGACACATGGTGCAAACGTGTTGTTGGTCATATTGAGTAACATTTAAATATGTAATCCTCAAATCATCTGGAACTTTAGCTCTTTATGTTTGATATCGAGCAATCAACGGTATTAAAATTGTCGCTCCGTGTCACATGGCTCCTGGGGCGGACCGTTTGAGGTTCACACCATTCGGACATCGACTAAATAAACCAGAGTCACTTCGGCAAGAAACATGTTATCCTCAGGTATGTCGTGCATGGCTGTCCATATAGATACATACCTCATCTTTGGAGTTGTCAGGTTGTGGCTTTTTTGAGTTCAATATTTTCTGCATCTGTTAACTAGACCTAAGACTATTGAAAATGTACAAGCACCCACTGATGGGCAATCTGTTGTTCTCACTTTAAGGTACCAATCTTTGAAGCGTTCCCCCAGCCCGGTCCAAAGAATAATTTGTACATGACGTAGCGGCCGTCTTACCAGAAGGCATCCCAGTCTAGTCTATGGTTTCTCTTCACTTTGTGTGGAGACCGCTGAGTTACGAACGCCCACATCATAAGCAACTATCAAGCGAGTGACGGTACCCAACAAAATGGAAGCGTACAACCTTGCATACTAAATGTCTCATAATCATAACGATTGCCACGGCAGCTTTTGTAAAGTGGCCGTGTTTCTCTTCCACTTGTCTGGGCTTAGCCACTTTGTCCGCATTGCAGCTGTGCATGCGATTTACGTACCGACACACAAGCCATAATGAACAATGGCGCTATATTTAGGAAGTCGTTTGCTCCAGTGAGCTTAAACTAACACCGGGAGTTATAGTACCAACACAACTCGCAGTTCTATTGTCTTCGACCTGAGTCATTGTCTTTATAGACTCAAGCTAGAAGGTATGCTATGAAGTTGCGATAGGGGGACTTGCACCCCGTCATTTCCTGTTTCCCACTGTCTGCCTCATCTACACATCTAATCCCTAGCGTTAATATGTTGCGTAAGTGGAAGACTGCCATTGTCTTTATGTATTCAGGTAGTAAACGTTCTCCTATAGGCCGGTTGTATCATTAGTTAATATAACGGCTTATTTGAGAAAAGTGTATCTGACATTTACGCATGATTTAGAAACAACAAAAGCTTAACAGCGCTGGGTGAAGTCTCATCACTTAGCAGTGTACTCAGAGAGCTCTTTCCAACATGTGCCACCCGACTTGTTTAAAAGCTGCAAATTTTGTTTATGTCGCTTACTTCCATCCCTAACATTTGATCAACTGGGCCTTACTCCAATTTCATCTCTTCCAACCCTTGACATGTTACAACTCAGTTGCTCCGGCAATTTTGAAACCTTGAGAAATCGTATTTATTTTACTCTCACTAATGCGACGGAATCTGGTGACTAAGATATTCTGGGTGGCAGTTTAAACCCATTGGGCTGTTACGTGTCCGAACAGCATCCTTGCGTTCAACGGCAATGCTCCATCGCTCACCTTGGGCAGTAATTCTGTAAGAATTATTTGTAGACAGCTTTAATTCGCGGTTGCAGCACCCAAAACTAGACACTTCCTGTTAACGAACAACTGCACCAACCGGGACATACAGATGAGTGAAGGTAACGGAACGCAAACTGGATGTTGTTCGCTTGCAGGCAGGCGAATGGCCAGGTGTTTGTTAATTCAAGTTTACGGAGCCGTGGACTTGTCGGAATATATAACCTAAACATATTTATCGCGTCTTGTTGGTAACCAAATCCGGGAACAAATGCGCTTTCAAAGTCCCAACACTGTCAATGATTGCTGACATCTTATCGTGAGTGCATGTATCGTGTAAGAGGTTAAATCAAGTCAAGCGTTGCTTCATGTTCCCACGACCGTTGAGTATTCCGCTGCAAAAAGCATGCTGTAAATATGGACAAGTAGGAAAATAGTATCTCCCAAGAGGATTGGTATAAAGCAGAAGTTACTAAAAGGCGCTGATAGGGCCAAAGTCAATGCACGTTTTTACCTGTCCGTGCACTTGTTCCTGTGGCGCAGTATACATTGATCGTACGACTAGGCGTTTATCCGAGAACACCGTCCCGCATCTAACGGCTGGCAACATAAAAGTATGTAGCTCCTCCATACTTGTCCACTTCGCCGACACAGGGCACAACCCTAAACCAGCCGAGGTATCCAAAATTACTAATGTGTAGACGGATTTGGGTATGGTTTTAGTTGATTCATAGCAATTAGATTACAAAACACAAAAGTGAGCTAGCAATCAGGAAAAGCACCCGAAGATCGTTTCCTCTTACTGGGACTAGTGATGCAAACCACCGACCATCATGGGTTCAAGCCCCACAGGGGACCGAGGGAATGCGCCCCACTGACTCGTCCCGTTGTGACGAAACGATCGGCGGGTACTTTTCAGCATTGGTAGCTCATCTGTGCGGCTTATAATCTAATTGCGATGAACCAAGTTAAATCATTCCCTAATCCGTCCACTCATTAGTAACCAAGAGCTAAGACATACCTGTCCTCAAATCGTTGTGTGGATTCATGACACTGGCAAGGGGAGCCCTGACCCGGACGGCCAACTACTGCCGTCTGCATCGGCAGAGGCTTACATGGCAGTGATGGGTCGGGCTATATCGCAGTTAACTCTGAATGCGGGATGGTTGGCTAACGTCCCCCATGGCTCAGTGGCATAAGTTGCTGGCTAGTGGTGCCAACCACCACAGGGGACCGAGGGAATGTGCACCACTGACACGTTCCATTATAACGAAACGATCGGCTGGTGCTATGTAGAATTGGTAGCTTACCTATGCGGCTTGTAACCTAATTGCGACCAGCCAAATTAAAAGCATTCAAAATTATCTACTGGGCCCCTGATATTTCATCGAGGTTTATGCGCAAACGGATACTGGAAGCCGCTGAGGTTATCGCAATTCGGCTGCACGAACCGAATCTGTGCATTCATATGCGATTCATAGAGGTCTTAAAACTACCCTGGCCCGACCGACTTGTGACCTTTACTCAGCTGGATAGCGTTCAGGCCCAGACCTTGACCTGATTTATATCGATGGTTGGTCTCTTCCTAACACTTGTTTTGTCCCCTTTTTCTATGACCTCAGTATTCTGTCTTGGTTGGTATATAATTGGAATAGCCTGGAAAATAATTATTGAAAATATGTGTGCGCTAACACTGCCCTTGCACTGAAGTAATTTACCCACTAGTTCTTGATTGACTATGGACACGTACTATAGGCACGTGTACTGATATATATAGCTTTGTATATCTATCTAGATGATGATCCACACAACGCACTGTGGATGGGGACTAACATCACTCAAAATGCAAATTGGTTGCGTCTTTGACAGGATTGGATACAAAGATGTTATCAAGTGCCGTCCTTGAAATGCCACTACCTCGAGATGTTTCATCGACCTGGAAAACACTGAAGTCCTTACTCATTCGGCGATGGAAGATCACTGGAGAGTAACAGGTCCAGTAGGGTAACATACACACACACTGATAACTCGTCGGATCAGACAACTGGGTACAGACAGAGTCCCTAGGCGGGAAACTGGATAAGGGTCCCCTGACTTTAGTGCATATTTTTTCTATGCGTGTGCGCCACGTAAGACCATCGCTCAGTGTCACCCCCAGATATTTCGCTGGCAGGGAAGACTTCACATCTTCACCATCGAAGCAAAATTGCGGGCACTGCGTGACGATTTGCTTGTAGCGAGTTCCTTTGCACAATAAAAGACAACCTCTTTCCACTTTGAACTGTTGAGTGATAGGCTGCGAGCTTTGGGCCAATGTGTGGGGTTGTCCAGGAGGGTTTGTAATCCGACCGATGACCCTGTGTTTGGATGATAGACACCCATACTGGCTTGCTTGAGTGTGTGATGGTTTCTCTCACGACAGATCTCATCAAAAATTACTTAGGAATTTTGTACATTTTCTTTTAAGTAAAGAGGGAAAACACCGTCAACATTGATCGTCATCTGGCCGCGTGGTGTAGAACTGCTGCCTGCTTGCCGAATGGCCAAACGATGCATGAAGTCGCCTTTGAAACAGGAAACTACGATTTGGTCAAACTGCTGGACAAAGCAGAACGAACCAATGAACTGGTCGCTGCAAGCATGGCTCTCGATTTGCAATACGTGCAACAACTGCTCACCAGCAGACCAGGTAAGTGTGTAACTAGAATAAATTTTTGATCAGCTCATTCCCATTCTGGTGGCCCAAAGATCCTCCAGTGTGCAATATATGTGTCACTAAATGGTCTAATGCACTTGGAGGATTGCTAACATTTCTGCGCCTGCCATTTATTAGACCCTGACATGTACGCTGGTGTAGTACAGTTAGCCTTGCAACCCTTCATCTGTGGCGTCACGCGACCGAACACTTAACGTTGTTCTCACTGGTGGTCCGGTGTCGGAGATTCCAGCATCTTAGCATCCGTTTTGCAGTACTTTTGTTGCATCCAAAGCACAACCGATACAGGTATAAACATTTACACAGCGTGTGAGACGCCCAGCTTGTATACAGAACTACCTATTAGTAGGTAGACAAGCTGAAATTTAATGCTGATGAATGATGGCTGCTCAGCAAGGCAAGTGGCATATGAAAGGGCCAGCTCTATCCTCCTCATCAAGATCTCTGATTGGTTGTTTCTAGCGGGTCGACACCCCTCCCTAGTGTCACTTGGCGCGAATTGCTCAATCCGTTCAACACTTTAATAGTAAACGCATCAGATATTAAGATCTTTAGCTCAAATATGATAAAGCCCTTTCTGAGGAACACTATGCGGAAACGAATGACACTAAGAGATTCACGTTAAGAAACCTACAAGTCCGATTCAAACACGGGAAATTGGAATGCCTACGTGATCGAGCAAAACAACCGTGTTAAACTGGTCCGCGAAAGCAACTTAAAACACCAATAGCATTGGTGAGGTAGTTCTACTGCAATCCTAAACTACCTTACATGCATGTTGACAAACTTGTAAATAAATAAATAATTTATTCTCGTCATTGCCAGGCACACCATCAAGTGCACGATCATGGTAATACAGACAAGTGTGATCGGCAATTTCAAAAATTGCTACAGTTTGACCAATAGCATAGGAATTTATTTGTGTGTTGACATTTAGAAGTATGTTTAAGTGTGCCTTTGGAAGTAGGCATGTTGTGTGAGTACGTAAGTGTTACTTTGCGTGTGTTTTTGTTCGCTTGGTTCGACATCGAAGGGGTTTGAATCAAAGGAACGCTTCGATTTGTATGAAGTTCATGATGTGCGAATGATCCTCCGGAAAAGGGAAAAGGCAGTGACTTTATTTACTGGCGAGTCACATACGCCACGTCACAGTGTTGTTAGACGGATATTTGTGGCTTTTATAGGGAGCACGCTTGCCAGGCGAAATCCTACCACATCCTGGAACACTGCCGCCGAACCATTTGCTGGAACGGGATTAACCCGAACCACTCAGCTGGCACCACGGGGAGGTTGTTCGGCTAGCCAGCGAGGGATCCCTCTTCTAAGCACCAAATGTGGGCAGGAGAGAACTCCTCAAGAAGCGGCTAATGGTCCTAGACACCAATTAGTTCATACTCTTCAGAATGCATCGCCAACTCATATAATCGTCACACATACCACATCGACTCTAGGACTTAGCCAAATCTCAGTAGCAGTTTCGGATGTGCTGAGGAGACTGATGTCCCTACGCGAGTACAGTTCGCCTGATCCGGACAACATACTTCCGAAGTCGTTGTGCGTGGCTTCTAAGAACTTGGCTGTACTGTTAACTCAGTTCTCGACGAGACGCAGGTTCTAACTATGTAGAAATTTGGAATGGTTACTCCCATTTACAAGAGAGGCAGTTATGCTGTGCTCGCCCCCTACCACGCAATCACTCTTCTTCAGGTGCCTACCAAATTCATGGAGTCTGCCGTAGCAGATACACTCATGGAATATTCATAAATGTGCTATGTTATCATGCAGGAGCAGCATGGATTCCGTCGAATCCGCTCATGTACCAGTAACCCTTTGCTAACCCGTACCAGCTGGACGGAATCGGTCGACAATGGGGAAGGAGTTGACACCAGCTGCCCTAATTTCATGAAAATCCTTGATCCCCTAGATCATCGCATTCCTCATTGTGATCTTCTGCACTATGGTACTGTTGACCCCATTCTGGGCTGGATAAATATATTTCTGTTCCAACGCTGTTTAAATGCTCGATTTCGTAGTGCCCTGTCCAGCCAGAGAGGTTCCCTGTGGCATCCTGCAAACCTGAAAGCTAGGACCAGGACTATTTCTAATGTTCATAAATGACCTCGTAGGAGTGCTCACCTCGAACTTTCTACTCTTCGCGGAAGATCTCAATAGTTGGAGGGCAGGGTAATCTCAACAAGCTTGCGAGTAGTCGGCTCTGAACATGCCTAAGTTTAACGCTACTAAATAGAATGTACATAAGCCGACAGTGCTCCTGAGAATGTCGGGTAAGAGAACATGATTTGCAGCGCGCTTCTTATCAGAGCGATCTTTGGGTGCTCGTGCAGGTCGATCTCGGATGCTCAAGACAGATTGAGAAAGCACTTAGAATAGCCATCCAACACAGTTTTACTGGGGAGGGCGTTTGGCCAGGTAGGTCCTAACGTTTCGCAAATGCTCAACACTTACGCGAGGCTATACGTGGAAAGCGTTACTCAGGATGCTAGGTACCCAGGTTGACACTTATGGAAATTAAGGCACAACACATTACTGAGAAGCAACCATTTGCAGTTGCCAACACAGTATAGCCGTTAGGGATGCCGCGGGAACAATCACTTTATTGGTGTATCCCAGCCGTGGAACGTTTTTCCGCATTCTGTCATCGCCGCAGTTAAGTTAAATGAATTCAAAACTCGACTTGCTAATGCAGTACACCACCTGCATTGCATGAGTCGACCCAAGTTACGGGGGTACAGTACAACGTAAACAAACTCTGTGTACTCTGCAGTAAGTTCACCACTACGCGTTTTTTATAAATCCATTTTCACTATCACTACCTACGGAAAACTGTTAAGCAACTGCTTTGTACCGTGTTAAATCCATTGTTCCATTAAATACTCATCGAATTGATGGATGAGTGACGCGCTGGATCACAGCTAATTACTTGCTCGCGACGACTACCACCATCCTGCCTGTTGTGTGCGCAAGTACTAACATGCTTTTCTCATGTCTGCTAACGTCGATGCGTATAGGAGTGCAACGGCGTGACTGGTAGTGTACGTGTGTGCGTGGGTGCGTGTGTGTATACTCATGTCAGTGACGCGTGCATTTAACAACTTATCTGAACAATTGTTCATGCAGGACTGCAAACCTCCGTAGATCGCGTGGCCTTGTTTTCCGGTCTGATCTGCGCATCGCCACGGCAAAAGGGCAAGACCTGATCCGCTCGCTTACTAATTATAGATGGCTTCCTCCCGCTGACCGTGCGGCCATCTTACAACTTTCCCAGTCCCCCAAGCCGCTTGTTATCCTTATGGGTTCCGATAACATCTGTTCCCCTTTTGATAGTGGTTGGAGCGAAGTGGCAGACATCCGATAGGCAGCTTGATATCTTTGACTGCCTTCTAACTCGTCAATGTTGTTATTTATAGGAGTAGCTAGTGTGGCATTCAACCCAAACATAAGCACCCAAGCATAAGTTCCGTCGGTGTCTTGTCAATTGCTCGGTGGTGTGCGGTTCTGTACGAGAAGAGTGCTCGTAAAATTGCATCTTCTCAAGCTGTGCGAGACAGACCAATAGCTTGGGTACCTTCTTTCGACGACCGGTTGAACCGCTCGACCATGCCGTTCGCCGCTGGATTATACGCAGTAGTAAGTGAGTGTGCTGTGAACGTGAAATTGCCAACCCTTCGTGGCTACCCATTAAAGTTGCACAAACCCCGGTCTGACCGGGTTTGGGCAGCTTTTCGGTTATCGTCTAGGATCATAGCTTATTGAAACGTACTGCCTGCAGACGTCGGGATGGCACCGACGACGAAAGAGTTCGAGCATCGATTTGACGCTCTTGGTCTGCAGTTTAAATTCTTCCCCTTCATGTCTTAAACTTTACTCGTCTGTTACGGCCTACGCTTCTGTAACTCATTTTAACTTACATCTTAATATTGCCTAAGAAATTCGATAAGCCTGTCTTCCCCTCTGTTTCCTTTCCTTTACTGACACTACTGTTTTCTTTTATTCTTCACTTGGCTGGCACAGCGGGAACTGCTAGTGCAAGGCACGTGGGCATTATTTGGTTGATCATGTGAATCGTGTGTGTTGATTTGGCTCTCCTTTGGCACACCTAGGCACCGGTTTCCCTGTTGGATCAACGACGTTTTCGAATGTGGAACATTCGCGGGATTTATTGCTGTTCCGGTCCCACTTGAACTTGAACTTGTAACTGCGAGCCGTTGTCCGTCACTATCTCCTCTGGTAATCCGAAACGAGAAAGCAAGTACTTCAGCCATCTGATAATATTCGCACTCGTCACTTCTCCTCATAAGTGAACTTCCAGTCATTTACTATGAAAACGCGTTGCAACGAAACAGTTCTTTTGTTACTGTGGTGCTGAGCTGAACAGACCAATGAAGGCAATAGCTATATTTTCCCATGGTAGCATAGGATACTCGATGGCCTGTATAGGAAAGCTAACTAGTCTTGAGCTCTTATCTGATCTTTGGCATGAAGAGTATTATTGAACTATTTCCTTGATTTCTTTTAACATTCGGGTTCACCAGAAGCACGAGCCCACCTCAAGTTTTTGTTGGGTATACCTCCAGCACGCGTGATGGCTGTTCTAGACAGACAGGTGCACACAACCCTAGACACACACACACACACACACACAAGTACATACGTATCTGCTTCCCTGTAGGTTCATCCTTCTACTTCCGACACCTAATGTACTCACTTAGTTAGATCTCTTTCAGCTTACAGTAGTTTGCCTACCGGAGAGACCTTACTTCGGTTCGTGCAATTGACTTTTCATTTACAACACTGACGCGCGGCTTACGAACCTACTCCATGGGATTAGATGCTCCTACAGTTTACTGGTCTGATCCGACATCACGTCCTACCGAAAGTGCATGGGCCTAATGGAAAACCTCGTTTCCATACTACCTTGACCTACTACCTGTGATTTTTAACTACATAGAAGG